TTCTTCTTCTTCTTCTTCTTCTTCTTCTTCTTCTTCTTCTTCTTCTTCTTCTTTTTTACCCCCCTCCTCTTCCACGTTTTATTACTAGATCTATATCACACAACACAGATCAGAACTTCTATTAAAGGTCATCATTTCCCCCAAATCATCACTACAAAAACCAGGAGTTTCAATAACCAGAGACCTGAGAATTATTACTGAGACTCGTTTCGTCAGCTTGGTCTGTTTTCCCTCTTCTCTTACGGATTTACGGAACACACAAAGAAACACACACACACACACACACACACACACACACACACACACACACACACACACACACACACATTTACACTCAGACATTGGGGGCTCTCGTGGCGTATAGGTTAAGGTGCTGGCCTCTCATTCAAAAGGTCCTGGGTTCGAATCCGCGTAGAGACGAAAAATGTTCTTCTCTAAAAATAAATATGGTCTCCTTTCATCTCCTTTCCTGCTCTCCAGCAATGTTCTGTCGTCTGTTTTCTTCTCCACTTTCTGCCCCACCCCCTCACCTCCTTTGCCCCCAACTCTGGGCTCCTGACTCTTTCTACAGCCTTTCTACTGCTACCTCTTGGCTCCTTCTTACTACTGTCTTTCAGCCACACCCCTGATCTTATGGTGGGAAAGATCTACACCTAGCCTTTTCGGACTAGGGTGAAAAATCCCGGAGGGCCCGTGTGCAAGTTGCGCTTGTCAAAGATCCCTTGGTGGTCTAAAATCATTAAGAGCAGTCATCGGCCGCCCCCGGGCAAAATTCTACATTTCCTACCAACTGAAAAAAGTTTAAGGTGTCCCGCGCTCACATATTACCCTATGCAGTTGCGAGCGCCGCAAAACACTTACAAAAACAACAACAACAACAAAACAACAACACTCAGACACACACACATATATGAAATAAAATATACGTGCGTTATGTGCGTGTGTGAGTGTGTGTGTGTGTGTGTGTGTGTGTGTGTGTGTGTGTGTGTGTGTGTGTGTGTGTGTGTGCGCGTACATGTGTGTATACGTTTTGTAAGTGTGTGCACATTTTTGGCTTTGTTTAAAAAGAAAAAAGAAAAACAAATTACATTTTTTAAAAAATAGTGATAACAATTCTATTTTATCAAGTTTATGAGGCAGGTAACATAACAAGTTATTTAATCGTTGTGGAGGCTGTCATAGTACCAGGTAACCCACGCAATCCCACTCACAAGACATTTGACCCAAGTGTGCTGGGGACGGCGACCGCGAGGAAAGAAAGATGTGGAGGGGAGATTTGTTGGAGAGGGGAGGGGGGAGGGGGAGGAGAGAAATTGTTCGAGGTTACATATCCGGAGAGGGTTTAAGAAGGGAGTCAGATTATATACATGTATATATAACCAATGTTAAAGTGGTCAGCCAAGCCTGTGAGCACGTTCTTCTCATAGGTCAAAGGTCAAGACAAACGACAGGTCACGACAGGTTACGACAGTTCACGCAGAGGGAGTGCTGGGTAGGGGCGGTTTCCTGAGGTCAGTGGCTTTTGGGGAAAACCCGGGGGTCAAATTAGTGCTCTAGTACTTTATTACTAATCTGTTTATTTATAATTTGTTTAAATGTATATGGCATTGACATTAAACGTCTTGCAAAAAAAACATGTACATGTGTGCCTACATGCAAACATCTATCTATCTATCTATCTATCTATCTATCTATCTATCTATCTATCTATCTA